TATAATTTCTTTCTCTCTTTTTTAACTGTATTTTTAAACAAAGCAACATATTTAAGGTTCTATGAAATTAAGATTTTGGAACCTAAATTTGAAGTTTATTTTAGTGAGATAATTACTATGTCATGTTATACTTATATTAAAGAGTTATTGTTCATGTTCATTGGAAACAGAAAGATTCTAAAACCTTTTCCATGATTTTAGGTCTGCAGCTCTTCAAATAATATTTTTAGAAAAACTGCATTATCCTAGTTCAATGTTTAATAAATTAGCCAAAACAGGTCACATTTTGAAAAAAGTACAGTAGCTATTACAGACATGATTTAAGTTACTCAACTCAGTGATTTAAAATCCTTGAAGAGAAGTTTAAAAGCAAGATAAAACATCATTTAAGTGATAATTTAAGGGGAAAAAAAGTATTTAACCTAGTCTTTTTTCAAATACTGTGCATGACCTTATTTTAAAATGAAATGAAGGAATGGAAATGAGGCCAGATGACGGTTTCTAAACAACACGCCCCCTGTGCACGCCCCAGATGCTTCTTTCTGCTTAACTGCTTGGCACCACTTTCCTCGCCACGGCGACAGTTGGAATTAGGACTACCTCGTGATAGGAATCTGGTCTTTCTATACACCAGCGTACCTTTGAATACATTAATTCAAAAGAAATTTCAAGGAGTAAGTATAAAATTAGAGAATTTATCATTTAAATATTGATAATTACATAATATCTAAGTGGAACAAAAAGAAATCTGGTCTTTGATTAGCTGTTTATATGTAAGCATCCTGAGATAAGCAGAGCATGCATTTTTTTCCAATTTTTTGTGACAGTTTTGTGCTGTTCTGTCCAGATACTTTCTCCTGAGTTCCCAAGGAACTATGGATTTTCTTAGATAAGTAAAATGTTGGCTTTAAGATCATTCCTCTATTTCTATGCCGTATTGATAAATGAATAAATAGGTGCAGTTTGATATTTGAATAATTCAAGTCAAGTGTATTTTTCAGTGTGAACAGCGGCTTCTGCGCACTGACCTCAGAGGCTGGCACTCCTGTGTGCTGCGTGGCCTCCCTTGCCCTGCAGCTTCTGGCTGCATTCAGCTGCTGGTGGCATTAACGAGATACCAGAGTGGGAGGAGGGAACAGTTGCTGTGTCTGTTCCCGGTTGCATCCCTATTGGCCACGCTCGAACAATGCTTCTGGGGAACAGCCATCCCCTACAAGCATGGCACTTGCTGGGCCTGGCAGCTTCTCCCTCTCCTTGTTCCCTCGGCCCCCAAGTGGGACCTCCCTTCTTGGCACCCTTGATGTCTCGCCATTCCTTGGTTTCCCCTCACGCTGTCTGAGCCTTTCTGAATAGTCCCTTCCTGTAGTCCTCAGATCCTCTTGAGCATGTCACCTGTTTCACGGTGGGACTCTGGCTGATACACCCCGTATTCAAGTAGATAAAGTTACAGTGCTTTAAAATGGGGCTACATTTCTTATATTTTCCTGATGTAAAGAGTTAGTAGACCTTTGGGAGCTGGAACGCACTGTAGAGGTCTCTGAGGTGGCCACAGCAAGGGTAAGATTTAAAGGTGCTGAATCTTACATTTCCAGCTCCCCATGGAAACAGTGCAGTCATTCAGTCTTTTTGAATTCCAGATATTTACACAAATGAGCAATTGTTAAAATAATTGTATATTTACCTTCATACCTGGACCTGAACTCTTTCGTAAAGTTGTGTACATGTTTCATCTGTTCTTACTGGGCGTTTCTACCTCTTTTCCAAGAAGGCATCCTATCCATGACTAACTTTCTAGAGTGTATGGTCTGGGATGGGGGCGGGGTGAGTGTAGGTGGGCTGGGGCTTCCTTCTTGCCCACCTGTAACTCACCTGAAAGGCTGGAGCCTGTGGGGCTTCTTTTCCCTTCCTTTTGTAAAGCTCTATGATTCCATGATCTTCTGATGTGGAAGAAGAATGTTGAAATAAGATGAAGCTGAGAAGGCAAACATGCACACTGGTGGGAAGTGCTCACCTGCTTCAGGTCAAAATGTTGCACACCTGTCATGGATCCTGTGTTCTTTACTTATTCTGCCTGGTCTAGCACAGCATGTGCATTGGGGAAAAGAGAGGGAAGGAGGGGAAGACTGGGAGAGAGATTCCTTGTCGTTATAACGCCTGTGGGTATTAATGATTTCCTTTGGCTCTGCCTCTCACGTCTAGAATCTTCCTGCTTCCCTGTCTCCACTGCTTTCACCATAATTCAAGCTGCCATCATCCCCCACCCAAACTACTAAATGTTCTTGATGATCTCTCGGGATCTGCCCTTGTCCCCCTTCATTTCTACAAGTCGTTCTCCACCCAGCGGACCTGAGAGATCCTCTTTGAAACGTGTATTGTGTCACTCCTCTGGGAAAAGCCTCTGATGTCTTACCATCAAACTTGGAATCGAAGTTAAACTCCTATTTTATCTGCAGCCTATCTCTGCAAACTTGACTGTATCCCAAGTTTCCCCTCGTTCCCTAAGTTTCAGCCAGAATGCCTTTCTGTTTGTTCCTCAGACACGCCACGCTTGTTTCCACACGACTCCTCTCTGCTGGAGCTCTCTCACAGACCTTTACCTGTTGCCTCTTTTGTACTTTTCACACAGCACCTGTTGCTGCATGAAGTTTTTACCTGTGCACCGTCTGCCCTTCTCCACTAGAACGTCAGTCCTGTGAACAGCAGGGTCTCTTTTGTTCATGGCTGTAACTGTGTCTGACACATGCAGGCATTCAGAACTTCTGGGGATAAATGAATGTAGTTAAACCCTCTGAAATTACTTGACTAAGAATAATTTGTGTCATAGAAATTATGTTGGGCAGTTTTTCATTGATTTTAGTGACTGAGTTGTACGAGATCATACCAAGAGTATATGTAGCATAAACATGATCCCTTTCACAATGGGTTATGAAAACACATTAAGAACCAAGTATCTGTGTCAGTTAGGTCTACATTGATTCATGAATAGAAGAAATATTGATTCAAATTAATTTTAATATTTATAATTGAGAGTGAAAAATAAGTAATTTACTAAAGGCAAATAATGCCAAATTTCTAATCTGTTTTATTTTTTGATTAACAGTAAAATAAGCACTGTTAAATTGCTTTTTCTAAGTAATTTTGACAGTGAAATCTAAATTCTAACTATTTCATAATCTTTTCAATCTTGTAGTACCAACTTTACATGTGGACTCATTTCCAGTGAGAAAGTTGCTTCCATGTGCTTTATAATGCCCAATTCTGTTAACATTTATTTTGTTTTACAGATTTATGAAGTAAATCATTTTTGAGGGTAAGGCTTATCAGATTATTTAACCAAGAGAAATAAATGTTATTTGGGTGACTACAGATTGAATGAGACTGAATTATTTTAATCACATGAAATAATTATTTGTAAACGGGATAATAGTTTTGTTTCACATTATGTTTCTGGTTTAAATGAATTTACCTGTTGAGAAAACAAATAACATGCCTATTCCTTTAGAAGTCTAAACCCAAAGATAAATCTTCTTCCTTTAAGTCACAAAGTGCTTAGACACTTCCTCATTAAGAAAATCTTAAATTCCCGGATCACTTTAAGGGATTTGGGTCTTCATATGGCATGTGTTTGGGGTTAGGAAGCACACACGTAAGTCTAATCAATGTTTTTAAAGTTATGTAGTCTGACCTGTAAGAGACCTGATGTGAATCTTTGTGAAAAGTAAGGTCGTAACAGAGGTGGTTAGTTAAATGGGCTAAAAAGGAAGTGGGCTGATGAAAATAAATGAACTTGGCAATTGATTGGCATTAAAGATGTGGTTTGTAGGAAGCAGCAGGGTTTTCCAGATACCTAGGCATCTTAGCTTTAGGGAACGCAGCTAGATCGGAATCTCTGCCAAACTGACAGATAGATACTCCTAATATGCCATCTCCCTGGGCCAGGACTGTGCCCACGGAAGGAGAATGTCTGTGGACCTAGAAGACGTAAGGCCGTGGCTAGCAGCAGCGGATTTCTCAGACTCCTTAGAATTGAGATATGCGCTGGAAACTGTAGCATCATCTCACTCAGTACACCGTTTTATATCTTTTTGATAATCTCTTTTTAAATTATGTGATTTGCTGTATAAAAGGTAAAGTTGACGGTTAAAATTGCTTAATCACTACTATTTAGTTCTTCCACTAAGAGTAGACTTCATGTAGGATAACCACATATCATTAACTAAATCCATTAAAATTATAGGGGATATTTCTGCTTGAATTTTTTAAGCAATTATTTTTCTTCAAAAGGAAAGATTAAACCAAACCACGTTTGGGGAAAATGTCAGACATGGAGCACATAGTTACGAATGCCAAGTAGTTGAAAAGGAAAACTCATTTCAGTGGCGAGGTTAGTGTTTGAAAAGGAATACCTGATAAGCGGAAGTGAGAGCAAAGCGTTTGGAGACGGCATTCCGGTCACGCCGTCTGCGCGGGGACACTGGAGAGAAGCTGCATGCCCACATCCTCCTCCGACCTTGTCACGAGCCGCTGCCCCCTTGGAGAAGTCGTTTCATTTCTCTGCACCTCGGACTTTCGTATATAAAATGAAAGGATTGAGACAGATTTTTCTCTTAAGGTTTCTTCCCACTCTAAGTTTCCAAAATTCCATGAAAGTGAAAACCTGGCCCATGCCGTAACAGTGTGCCAGGGGATTTAGGTGATAGCAGAGGCAAGGCCCACGTTATGTTTGATTTCAACAGTATTATTAAGGCAACAAGAACGTGTAACACACTCCTCATGGAAACAGTGATAGAAGTGCCTGATATTCCTACGATTAAAATGACATTATTTTTAAATTCTATTTTAATGGCCTGCCTGTTATTTGTAACTCTTTAATGCTATCTTTCTTTCTTCATGAAGTAATACATACTTAAAGCTCACTCCTGAAAATATGAAAGCCTTTCTAGTCCTTATTTTAAATGTGCAAATGCTATGCTGACCAGTCTTATATCATTGTGTTCTAGAGACCGTGTAATTGGTTTGATGATGACTGCCTGTGATCTATGTTCTGTGACAAAGCTGTGGCCAGTTACAAAATTGACAGCAAATGATATATATGCAGAATTCTGGGCTGAGGTATGTCCTTGATTCTTATATTAACATAGATAGTATCAAAAACTGGGAAGATATTTGAGGAGAAATTAAATATATGGATAATTTACTAACGATATCTTCGTTGCTCATGTGTCTAGTTATTTCAGAAAACTATGATCAATCACATACGATGAAAGATTTAGCAATTATGTAGGTACAGAGTGAGAGTGGTCATTCTGTTACATCTTACTTAAATATGTGTGTAAATTTTCTGATCCCAACTGTGTTTAGGAACTTACTCACTGAACAGTGGTGTGACAATTTCCCTTACTTAATAGCTGATCTTTTGTTCATTCATTTAACAAACATTACTGGCCATCCACTTTAGATAAGCACTGGACAAAGTTTTCAGCAGGACTTGTAATATGGACTGTATCTGCCTGTAGTTAGAAATTCAGGAGAATAATCATTCGTACCATAGACATATGAGAATATGTAAACATAGCCAGTCGCCAACTCACCTGCAAATTATGAAATCTTTAGAATGTGCGGAATAGTAATTGATAATACTCTGAAAGCACACACATAAATGACTTTCCTTAACACGTTTTCTTCACTAAATTATCTAAATTATCAGTAACATGCATTTTACTTCTCAGTTTACTTTCTGAATTGTCTGCAGTACAATATAATTCTCTCGTTCAAATGAATCACAAATACCTAGAATCCTGTATATTCAAAGATTACTTTATGAAAAAAAGCTATAAATCCTTTGAGTACTTCTTACTGTTCGGAGAAATGAAAGTAAACTCGGAAAGCAAAGAGTTTCATAGTTGATAATTGAATCATATATCTCACTCATGTAGAAGAATGCATGGAAAAACATAAAAACCAGCAAATCATTCAGCCACAAGTTTAGTAAGAATGGTTTAAAATGTTGAATTGTTTTGTAGTGGTAAAGCCAAAGAATTTTTATTGCATGAGGACCACAGACCTTGAGCTTATTACTCATAGTGTTATTTCTCTAGGAGGCCTTACAAATTGTGTATGCGTGCACTTACATGACGTTTATTTTACTGTGTGTCAAAACCTAGTTACCATCAGACTCAATTAGGAAGATTGTTTTGGATGTGTAATTGACTCTTGAACAACACTGGTTTAACTGCGCAGGTCCACTTATACGTGAATTTTTTTTCAGTTACTATATTGGAAAAGTTTTTGGAGATTTGCAATAATGTGAAAAAACTCAGGGATAAGCTGCATAGCCTAGAAATATCGAAAAGAATTAAGAAAAATTTAGGTATGTCATAAATGCATAACTATATGTAGAACTAGTCTATTTTATCATTTACTGCCATAAAATATACACATATTTATTGTAAAAATACAAAATTTATCAAAACGTATGCATGTGAACACTTACAGATGGTGCATGGTGCACATGCAGGTGAGAGGAATGTAAACAAATGTAAAGATGCAGTATTAAATCATAACTGCATTAAACTAACTCTAGTACACACTGTACTCTTGTAATAATTTTGTAGCCGCCTCCTGTTGCTATTGTGGCGAGCTCAGGTGTCGTATCCACTTAAAACACCATGTGGCGCTAGTGATCTCGGCTAACGATCTCCGCGTGAGCAGTTCAGCTCTCCACTAAATTATACCACGCGAAAAGTTCTCTCTCGCAGTTCCTGCATATTTTCCATTGTGTTTAGCACAATACCAGAAACCCTGAATAACACCAGGGGATCCATGCAGAGTGCCACTAGTGATGCTGGGAGTACTTCCAAGAAGCAGAGAAAAGTCAGGACATTGCAAGAAGAAGTTGAACTGTTTGGTACATGCTGTAGATAGAGGTCTGCAGCTGTGGTTGCCACCATTTCAAGATAAATGAATCCAGCATAAAGACCACTGTAAAAAAAAAAAAAGGAAATTCAAGAAGCTGTCTCCGAAGCTATGCCAGCAGGTATGAAAACCTTACGCTATTTGAAAAATACCTTTTATCTAGTACTGAACATATAGCTTTTACGTGGGTGCAGGATTGCTATAAGGCCTACCTATAGACTCTAATATGATTTGAGAAAAAGTGAAATCATTATATGACAACTTCAGGCAAAAGGAAGGTGAAGGATCTAAAGCTGGAGAATTTAATGCTGGCAAAGGATGGTTTGATAATTTGAGAAAGAGGTTTGGCGTTAAAAAATGTCGACATAACAGGAGAAGCAGCCTCCGCTGACCAGGAGGCCGCAGACAGGTTCCCAGATGCCACTAAGGAGGTCACTGAGGAGAAAGGATATCTGCCTGAACGGGATTTTAATGCAGATGAAAGTGCCCTATTCTGGGGGGAAAATGCCCACAAATGACATCTACTAGTAAGGAAGAGAAGCAAGCATTAGAATTTAAGGCAGAAAGGTATAAGCTAACTCTACTGTTTTGTGCAAATGCAGTCGGGTTTATGATCAGAACTGCCCTTGTCTATAAAGCTGCTAACCCCAGATCCTTGAGGAAGGATAAACACCAGCTGTCAGTCTTTTGGTTGCACAACAAGAAGGCCTGGACAACGAGAACCCTTTTTCTGGATTGATTCCATCCATGCTTTGCCTCTGAAGTTAGAAAGTACCTCGCCAGTAAGAGACTGCCTTTTAAAGTTTTTCTGTATTGGACAATTCTCCCTGCCACCCAGAACCCCTTGAGTTAAACACCAAAGGCATCAAATCACCTACTTGTCCCTACACACAATGTCTCAAATTCAGCCTCTAGATCAGGGATCATAACGACCTTTAAGGCTCATTACACATGGTAAATCTGTGGAAAGGATTGTCAACACTGTGGAAGACAACCCCAATAAAGAGAACGTCGTGAAGTCTGGAAAGATTATAGCATTGAAGATGCCATCATTGTTATAGAAAAAGCCGTGAACGCCATCAAGCCCAAAGCAGTAACTTTCTGCTGGAGAAAACTGTGTCTAGATGTTGTATGTGACTTCACAGGATTTACAACAGAGCCAATCAAGGAAATTATGAAGCAGATTGTGGATATGGGAAAAAAAAACAAAAAAGGTGGAATGTGGGGGTGGAGGGTTTTAAGATATGGATCTTGGAGAAATTCAAGACACCATACCAGAGCAATTCACAGATGACTTAATAGAGACAAGTGCTTCCAAATCAGTGCCAGACAATGAGGAGAAAACAATCTGACATCGAACAATCTAGCAAAGGGTTCAAGACGGCTTCTGACTCATTTTACAACGTGGACCCTTCCATGATACAGGCACTAAAGCTAAAGCAACGGTGGGAGGACTGGTACCATATACAAACATTTCTAGAGAAACGAAATTGCAAAAAAGTCAGAAATGACCGTGTGTTTCCGTAAAGGTACACCCAGTGTGCCCGCCCCTCCTGCCCCCCCTCCACCTCCCCACCTCCTCCTCTGCCACCCCTGAGGCAGCAAGAGCAACCCTCCCCTTCCTCTTCCTCCTGAGCCTACTCGACGCAAAGATGACAAAGATGAAGATCCACTTTCACTTCATGAGTAGTAAATATATTTTCTCTTCCCTATGATTTTTAATCACATTTTCTTTAATGTAAGAACACAATATATTATACATGTGACATATAAAATATGTGTTCATTGACTTTGTTATTGGTACAGCTTCCAGTCAACGGTAGTCTATATTAGTAATTAAGTTTTGGGGGAATCAAAAGTTATATTTGGGTGTTTTTGCACCGGGGGTCAGTTCCTCTATCCCCTGTGTTGTTCAAGGGTCAACTATACATGTCTGCACTGTAATATTTCACTTTATTATCATAATCAACAGTCTAAAAGTACTAACCTAGATACTTTCTATAAATATCACGTGGGAAAACTGGTCTGAAGCTAGCTTATTGCTTTGCACATAATTTTACCCAACTATGATACATTTCATACTTAACAACTATATTAATATTCTAAAATGTGAATCAAAACGTGACATGTATAATGTGGATAACTTTTATGTTCCTCATTGATTATTCAGCATACAGATATTGATTAAGCTCCCTGCATGCTCTTACGTGTAGTCTGCAAGGACCTCGCAGTCCACGGGAGGAAATAGAAATAGAATTACCAAGTCCTGCCAGTCGATCTGGATATCCTGTTTCTCCTCTGTAGCCCTACAGTTACGCCCGGCTTCACATCATCACCAAATCATGATTACTGCAACTTCCTAACGGAATTCCCTGCCTTTATCTTTTAGAATCAGTATAACGGAAATTAAGAGGGTGCTCTTTGGTGATATGTTAAAATCCTGTTTTGTCACTTAGTATGTAACCTTGGGCCAGTTTTCTGACCTGACTCTACATCAGTTAAGACATTAGCGAGCGAGGGATGGTGATAATTCTGATTACATCGGGACTCTGCTTCAAACCCTCTGTTGTGCTGCCGGCCAGAATCACGAACTTGGTGTTGAGAGCCCCAAATCACTAGCCCCATGCCTGCAGCCTCTCCAGACATGTTCTCCGTCTCAGCCCCTCTGGATATCCTGACAGCAGGCTCTCTAGTTGTCATTTAGGTCTCTGTGCCTACGGTGTCTCTGCCCAGAGCACGCTCCCCACCCCTCTGTGTTCTGTGACAGCCTCAGACTAGTTTGGCCCTGCATTATACACATGGCCCAAAGCGCTCAGTTCTTTTCCTTTTTAGCGCTGAAGTCCATATTCAAATCACTGTTTATTTAAACATTTGTTTACTTGTTGGACTTGTAAAATCTTTGAGAGCAAGGGACTTAGTGTGTTTTACTCACTCAGAAAAGAAAACAGTTTAAGAACCACTGATTTTAAATATTTAAAGTGGTAACGGCAGAACAGAAGCTATACTTGAAGTGCCTTTACCTTGTTAAGACAAGCGCCTTTGTCCCGTACATAAAAATACTTAGCGAGGGTTATAGTAACTTGTTTCTAGAGCCTATCTTAGCAAATTTAGGAAGTTTTTCATCTGTACTCCTGACTTCTGAAAACAGACATAAATAAAATTACTAAAATAATAAATGCGACGGAGGAGTGAGGAGTTAGGAAAAAATTAGAAAATGTTAAGGAAAAAGATCTTAAGCTTTAACTTTTACAAACAAATAAAAAGCAAGATAATTTTTTAAATCTATACAATGGGAATAATATATGTTTCATAGTATTTCATGAGGATTAAATGAATTAATATTTATAAATTACTTAGCCTAGAGCCTGTAACATAGTCAGTCTTTACTATTGTGTATAATTATAAATTTGATGGTGATGTATAGCCAGTTAATACTGTAACTGTTACTTATTCTTCCCTTGTCAGTACTTTTCTCTAAAGTCTAGAGGTCAGTGCACATTAAAGATCATTTGAAAAAGAAGTGAGAAAGGCCTTTAGGTTATTCCATGTTTTGTTGTTTCTCTTCACTGTTTAGTATCTATCCTCTTATAACTTCTACTTACTTCTGTAAAATGAAACCAAAAGAGATGGCAGGTTTCTGGTAAGTCAGTAGAGGAGAAAATCAGGATAAAATACCACACAGTGATACATTAAGTGTTTATAATTTTGACATGTTTCTTGGGTCAATAACAAGAAAATTATTCATTTGGAAGAAAATTAATGAAGAAAAGGAACAATTTATTAATACTAAAACTTTACAACCATTTGAAAATTGAGAAAGCCTGACTTTTACCCCTGTTTACCTTAGGGCGATGAAATGAAGAAACTGGGAATACAGCCCATCCCTATGATGGACAGGGACAAGAAGGATGAAGTCCCACAAGGCCAGGTACGGCTGTGAATTATTAAAGTCAAACTGTTACTGTTATCTTCCAGTAGTCTCAGGTGGCCGTAAGATCATACATGAATAGAAAGCACACACCATCTTACGTTTGGGCACAGGGAATGCGTCATTCGTGTCTGGTGATGTAGAAACTTTAGTGATTTATCTACAGGGGCTGAGAACTAAAAAAAGAATGTCCCTTTACCCTTGACTCATCATCCACTCAGACGAGCCTCTGCATATAAGACACTCTCGGGAAAGTAGACTCCAGCAGGGTTTGCGCTTGTAATCTGCACTTGAGGGCCAACTCTAACTGCTGACTTTGTTCCCAAGGCTGCAGGCAAAAATGGAAAACCTCGAGGGTCTGGCTGTCTTGTGGACTGGAAGGACTTGGTGCTCAGTGGACAGAACCTAGAATCACTTGAAACCTCCTTCTTTTAGATGGAGTTTGGGGAGAGTAAGACCAAGATCAGGAAATCCTAGTGGGATTTAAGGAATCACAACTACCCTTGTCAGCACTTCCTTCTACAGATGCCATCATAGTACAGAGGCTGACTTGAAATTGAAGGGATGGATGAACTTGAACTGGCATTTTTTAAAAACAGAAAATATTTGTCATTGTCTATACAAAGATTTTTTTGGAAGTAACATTATAGATTTTGATTCAGGTCCATCTTTTTTCTGACATGCTTAGTATTTTAGTACATTTTGGAGTTTTGTCTCTTTTTTTAAAATTTTTATTTCACAATATTATGGGGGTACAAATGCTTTGGTTACATATATTGCCTTTTCACCACCCAAGTCGGAGCTAGAAGTGTGCCAACACCCAGACATCACGCACCGTTCCCATTAGGTGTGAATTTATCCATCCCCTCCT